GTGCTTTGGGCTGACAGGGAAGGGGCTGAGTTCTTGTGACTAGGTATGGCCACGACCACCCATTTGTAGGCATGAGGGGGTGGGTGTGTCTATGCAGGTGACCTCTAGACCTAGGAACCAACCCACCTTGATGCCTCACCAGCACTGGCCTAGGGTGGAGGAGGAGGGAGAGGAGAGCAGCAGGTGGGTGGGGCTAGGATAAGAGGGTGGGAAGCACAGTCTTTGATGTTAATACTGGGCATCTGGCCCAAGTCAAGGCTGCTGTTTATGTCTTTCTCTGACCTGCAGGGGGGAGTTTCCTCTTATATTATTTTTTGGGGGAGGTGGGTGGAATGAGGATCCTTTGTTTAAGTAGCTATTCTTCCCCTTAGATCATCTCCCCCATTCTCTAGCCTCTAAGCCCTCGAAGTGGCTAGGAAACTGGACTCCAAGTCATTGCCTTTAACCTCCAGAATCTGGTCTCATGGGGGCCCAGAGAGAGCCCACCTAGTACTGCCTCCTTCCTTCCCTCCCTCTCTTCCTTCCTTCCCCTCCCCTCTCCTCCTTTCCCTATGCCTGCCAAGCTGGTGCCCAGAGTCTGTGTATACTCTTCTGCCATCTCACACCTGCCAAATAGTACCTTCTTCCCGCCTTTACGCCTGTCTTTCCTGGCACTAGGGTAACAGAGAGTTGGGTGGGGCAGCCCTGCACAGTCCTTACCTGAGAATAGAACATGGGGTGTGTGAGGGGGTGTCTGGGAAGGAAAAAGAGGTCCTAGAGTCCTAGAGAGGCATCTGTCCCTCAACCCTTAACGTGGGCCATGTGTAGCTGGTGTACCTTTACCAGCGCCACGGACTCCCAGGGGCTGTTGGTGTTTGGACTGCCCATGGGTGCCCATGTTGGCACTGGTGTCTTTTCACAGATGCCTCTGTTTGCCTGTGCATGCCCTGTATGTGTCTGGGCTACAGTGGCCCAGGCCCCTTACCACCTCCTCTCTTGGATCCTGTGGTGTGTGGAGTCAGGGCTTCAATGCCAGAGGAATGGGACTGGGTGGGGGTAGAGGGATCTCCCCCCACCGTAGCAGCAAGCAGAGGGGAAGGGGAGAGGGAGGTGTGAGCCTACCCACAGCACTATTAATAGCCCACATGCCAGGCCACCAAGAACCAGCTGTCACCGTGGAAACCATTCCTAGTCCTCCCTCCCCCCAGCCTGGATGGGGTGGGACTTAGGCAGGGCATGAAGCACCCCCTACCCATAGTTCTTTGTTACCTTTCTCTCTTTGTTCCCCCTCCTTCATCTGTCCCTTTCCTTATCAGTACTCCTTTCTACCTCTCCCCCCACTCTGCCACATCTCCCATCTCATTGCACCCCTTTCTTTCTTCCTTTCCCTTTTACTTTGTCATCATCCCTGGCTCTCAACCCCCTATACCCACATCCCTGCCCCACCTCTTTTCTTTCTTTGTTCTTCCCTTTTCCCATCTTTCTTCCCCTCTTCTTCCTTAGTCCCCTTTCCCCTCTCCTCCTCTGTCTGCCCCTTGCTTGGCCCTCTGTGTGTGTGTGTGTGTGTGTGTGTGTGTGTGTGTGACTGGCAAGGAGGAGGGCTGAACTGTCTTCAGAGCATGAAGGACAAAGTTCAGGGGCCCCAGACACCCAGGAGAGTAGAATTGTGTAGAATTTGAGGCTAGTGGGGGGGGGCGGTTGTGTGTGTGCAGACATTCCCTTCTGGCAACTCAAGAGGTCCTTAGGGAGTGTCCCTTGGGTCCTCAGGACTATGGATCAGGACAGAACAGCAGTGGGAACCTGGCCTGATGCCCACAGATGCTGCATTGGCCTCTTGTCCCTGTCCCCCCATCGCAGAAGCACTTAAGTGTAATGAAATGCTTCCCCTCCTTGGGCATCTTGCCCACACTACCACCCCACAGCTCTTATCTGACACAGAGGGAGGGAACTAGTGGTCAGGCCAGCCAACAGGTGGGTCTGCTGTCCAGCCTAGACTCAGAGCCCCAGAGCCCCACCCCCTCCACCTCTCTGGGGCTGAGTCCTGCCTCCTCATGGAATGTGCCAGGGAGAGGCTTCCTGCCCTTCAGGGTGGGTATCCCAGCCCCCTTCCTGGCAGACCTTTCTTTGCCCACCACTAACCCAGGTCCATGTGATTTGTGCCTCCTTGCATGCTAGGCCCTCTGCCTCAGCTCTGTGTCACCTCAGAGGCCAGGTATATCCCTGAAGAGATGACAAGGAGTTCCCCAGAGGTTACAGCCTCTTGCTAGGTGTCAGGTGAGGGTGCCTTAGGCAATGATGGCAGCATCATGCTCCTCTGCCCACTGCCAGGGGCTAACCATAGCCTGGGCTGCACAAGGCTGGCACCAGGGTGCAATTCACCTCAGCATAGAGGTGGGGCCCCAAGAAAGAGCCTGCTCCTCCCCATGGCGGGCACGTGCAAGCCCTCGGCAATGCCCAGACACATTTGGAGTTCAGATTGGGCCAGGAGGGGGAAGGGAAGATAAACATGGTGGCTAAGGTTGGCACTGCCCCAGGTCTGCCCTGCAGCAACTGGTGGTGGCAGGGGTGCTGAGGGGGAGGCACCCTTCCGAACTATGTATGGCCTGGGGGCAGGAGCTGCCCAAGCCATGTGGCTGCTGCTGGGGTTCCCTGCCTGGCCCACAGCTGCTGATGCCCATTCCCACACACCCTGGCCCTCTGTGCCTGCCCCCAGGGCATACTCCCTAGGGCTGCCCCTCTCCACATGCCCACTCCTATGCCTGCCTCCTCCCCTCCCCGGGGGCCCTTGGGCCTCCAGCTGGCGAGTGGATTTTTCCAGCTTCTGTAAACAAGTGGTGGCAGCATGCCAGACGGGCAGGAGACAGGCGGGGGCAGCACCGCAGCCAGGGTGTGCCAAGCACCGAGGCACAGCCTGGGGGGAGATGGGGAGACACCCAGACCCAGAGAGAGAGAGAGAGAGACATTCAGAGGTAGACAGACCAAGCGGCCAGCGAAGGAGGCCTGGATAGGCATGGATAGAAGTGGGAACTGGTGACAGAGAGAAAATAGCCCTTCTCTTGTCCAGCCCAGCCCCCATGAGTGCCAAGCCCCCTGCTCCTCACTGCACTGGCTGAGAACAGCAAGCCCCAGTGCCCAGCCCCTGGGCATCCCCACCCACCCCTTCTCCTCCCCTACCTCCACCCCTCAGGGCTGGCTACGCCATTATAAATTTATAACAGGAATTTCTCCACAAGCCAAGAAAAACTTGACCTACTTTCTTGACGGCTCCCTGGGCTAAGGCTCCCCGCTTGCCCCCCTCCCCTGGTCTCCTGTCCAGCCCCTAGTGCCTAGTCCTGGCCTGTGGAGGGGTATCAGAGGGAAAATGGGCCCCTCTTCTGCACTCCTCCCCACACTGGGGGCTGGCCTGAGTACAGAGGCCCTGTCCTGCTGCCCTGCCCGGCCCAGTACCCTGACTTATCGCCTTTCTCTTCCCACTCTGGCTCCTTATCAGTTCCTGGGGGTTGGGCTGGGGGGCCCGGGGCGAGGTCTCTGATGGAGGTTGTATGTAGGGAGCTGCACTCTTTGTCCCCCTCCTATACCCACACCTGCCCATGTGTGCACAGACAGTGAGCCCCAGGTCTGCAGGCTGGATTCAGAGGAGCTGCGTAGACAGAATAGTGAGGCCCAGGTTGGCACTGTCTGGGACTCCAGGTAGCGGAACAAGGCCTGCATGGAGCCAGGCTGCTAGGTTTAATCTCTGAGTCACCTGCTTATAGCTATGTGAACATGAGTAAATGATCAAGCATTCTGAGACTCATTTCCTTGTCAGGAAAGCTCTGATGCCCACTTCTGAGGGCACATATTAACTCTTCAATCAATGAATGTTAGTTTCCTTTCCTTTTCCCTCGCCATTCTGGTAGGTGCCAGCTCAGCTAAACCGACCGGGAAGTATGACCTTGTATGGGAAGCTCTGGAGTCCTTGAGGGGCCAGGGTTGAAGAGTCATAGCTGGACCAGCAGCAGGTGGTCAGCTCCCCGCTGCTGTCAATATCTCTCTCCTTAAGATACTAAGATGGAGAGATCCTGGATAGAGTGCGAGAACAATGCAAAACAAAATACAAAATCATTAAAAAAAAAAAAAAAAAAGACCAGGTCTACAGGTCTGATAGAGCCTGTTGAGACCCCTGAGACTATGGCCCTTAGTTACCCTACAGGTCTGGAATTGAACTCACTCCCATAGCTTCCAGCCAAACAATAGACAGGCATATAGGGTAAACATTTACATCAGGTAGATACACTTCTTAGAATGATCAATCATGGGAGAACAGAAGGACAGTATTTGCACAGGGAGATTGCTCAGGGGGCAGAAATGCATAGGAAAGAAGGACACAGGGAAGATGTAACTACAGGGAGGAAGTGGGAAGAGAGCTGTTACATTATGAAGAATTGCAGTCAATGTCATGAAACAAAATGTGTATCAACTGCTGTATGGAAAATGAATTTGGTCTGTAAACTTTCACCGAAATCACACACATGCACACACACCTGCACACACACAAGATACTAAGATGGCCATCCATGGGCCCTGCATACCCTCATACCTTACTCTTACTGCTGTTCCCCATGCCTAGGCTGAAAACTGCTCATCCCTAGTCCCCTCTTGCCCTATAATATTGATGAGTTTTGGGGAAGCTTGGCAAGAAGGGTAGTAATAAGAGCTAATGTTTATAGATGCTTATTAAGGGCCTGACACTTGGATGAATATGAGGATTGAGACAGATTATATGGTACACAAATTACAGCATTCTTCCCCCCATCCCTTCCCATCTCTGGAATTCAGAACGTAGGTCTCCAACCTTGCCTGCTATGGCTGCTCATCTAAGACATTAACCTCATCTTTCCTGGCGGGAGCACAGCCAGGCTTCCTGTGCCTGCCCACCATGTCCTTCATCATCTTGTTGTGGACCCCAAGAACCCAAATTGCTACTACCGAAGGAATCCCCCACAATGGCACTTACCCCTTTCTCTCTCTTCTCTCCACAGGGACTTCAGGACCGGACAAGACTCTCAACCTACTCCCTGAGCCCCAGCCCAGGACACCTCCAACAGCTTCAGCTCACCCCCCCAGCCCTCCCACCTGCCACTCTCTGGCCCCTCCCACTGCCCGCCCCCCCTGGGGCACAGGGCATGGTGTGAAGGCCAAGTGCTGAGGCGGGCACCATGGGTGCTGTGCCCTAGGGCCTGGGTGGTGGGGGGTGGGTGGCCTGTGGGTGTGCCGGGGGGGCCCGTGTGCCCACCCCAGTCTCTTGGCGTGCTGGAGTGCATCCTGGATGGAATTGAAGTGAATGGAACAGAAGCCAAGCAAGCTGGAGTGTGGGTCAGACCCAGAGGAGAACAGGTAATGGCCCCAGCAGCAGGCATGGTCACCTAGCTGGGCATAGGGCCTCCCTGACAAGAACTGAGCTTGGGCCTTTTAGTACCTCTGCAGGGTGGACTCGAGGCCAGCAAACATGCTGCCTACCTTTGCCCGGGAAATGAGGTCATGTTCAGATGTGGCAGGGAAGTAGGCACCTGGGTTGAGAGATGCCCATATCATATACTCGTGATATAGAGCAGAGGAGTCAAGTAGTAGGCACATGGCTGTACCCTTGACTGTACTGGACAGTCTCAAGTGCTCTCCAGTGTCCCCTCTGCTACTGCTGCCCTCACCTGACCATAGTGATCCAAATGGCTTTGCCACCTTCCTCTCTCCGCTGCCAGCCCATCCACCGTCTGACCACAAGTGTGTTGTCCACAGGCCCTGGTACGTGTAGCATGACATTTCAGGGCACATGCACCAGTAGCTATTGGTCACAGCTCACATTTATATTTGGAGCCTATTGGGAGCCCCACAAACTCTTCCTTGTTCATGGGCAAGGGCGGGTGCTACCATGAAGCTCCTCCCAGGAAGGAGAGAGCACATGCCAAGGGAGAAGGTTTTGCCCACACGTGGGGGAACTGCACACACAAGTAGGGATGGATTACCTGTGCTCTGCATTGTCCCAGAGGAGCCCAGAGGGTCTCTGCCTCTCTCATCCCCACCAAGTGGCACAGAGCTCTGCCCTAGTTGGCACAGTGCCCTGGGAGCTGGGTACAGCCTGTGCCTATGGCCAAAGAAAGGGTGGGGGAGGGGTGCTCTGAGGAGCAGTGTGGCTGTTGCCTAGGAGACCAGATCCTGAGCCAGGAGGCCAGCGGGCCTGGCCAGGCAAAACCCTGGGGCCCAAGACTGGGTCCCTGGAGGGGTGGAGGAAGTGGGTGGGTCTTGCCCTTGGGTAGGGCCCTCAAGGTACCCCCCTCCCCCAAAACCCCACCCCAGGCAAGACTGAGAAGGAAGATCTGGCTTGTCCTAGTGCAGCTCTGACTTGCAGTGCCTGCACCTCCCTGCCCAGACTTCTGTAGGTCTGAGAGAGTCCGCCCCTAAGGCTTGGAGAAAGGCGGGAATGCCTGTTCCCGTCCTCCTAGGGCTGCAGCCCCTCCCCCCCCACTCTCCCCTCCCCCAAGTCCCTGCGCCACCTTGTGGCTGTCCATGGGACTGCACCCAATGGCTTCAAGTCAGGTAATCTCAGAAGAAGCCAGCCAGCTCAGCTGGAGCCTAGGTGGCCCAGAGTTCCTCCCCACACCCCACCCGGGAGACTAGAGGGAGACCTGACCCTCCAGCCGTGTAGGAACAAGACGGGTAATCCCCAGGGGGTATGGAGCACAGGGCTGTCTGTGACTGTGACCCTGGCCAAGGTCACTGTGTCAGTGTGTTGGGAGCTGCATCAGGCTCCAGGAGGAGGGGCCCTGCGCTATGCCACATGCCAGGGTGGGTGTGGAAGTTTGTACGAGCTATGCGTGCATGTAGAAGGGCTTATGTAACCTGTGTGTGCAGGGTTATGTAACATGTATGTGGAACACTGGGGTGCCATGTATGTGCAGTGGAGGATGGTTGCTAATACTTTGAATGCAAGGGCTCAGGGTCCTTGTCTTGGCTCTGACTCTACTGCATGCTGTCGCCAAGCTCAAGTGGGACCTTATTTGCTGGTCTGTTAAATGAAGGCCATGGACAGGGTGATTCTGGAAGGCCTTTCCCATTCTCCCATTCTCCCATTCTTGGTTCTAGATGCTAGGAACTAGGGATTGCATGTTTTCAATCACTGTGGGTTATTTAACCCCTAAACATGACCTGGGAATCAAGCAACATATCCACACTGGAAAGAGGGGGGATGGTATTATTAGGTGCCTGTCCAGAGGGTTATGTAACACATGAGAGGATCCTAGAGGTCATATAAGTCATTTGAGAATGTCCTAACAATTACCTAGGTCTGTAGATTCTGGAACTTATTCATCATTGGATTTGTACTGACGGCGATGTAGTTACTTGTATGTGCTGCTGTTATATTGCATGTGTATGTGTGTGTGTGTTCTAAAGCTTATATAGCTTTAAGCACGTCCTAAGGACGCTTTCAGCATTTGTGTTATATACTAAAGGTTGACACGTGTGGATGTCTTGTAGATTACACACTATGGCGCTTAAGGTTCTATAATGTGTGTGCATGTGTGTGTTGGGGCCCTGGAACATGCTTATGCCCCAGCCAAGCTCCTTATCTCTCTTCCCTGTAGCTTCCAGATACAGGACCCTTCTCAGCTTTGTCAGCTGACTTGGGGGTGTGGGGGTAGAATGAGGACACAGGCTGGGGGATTGTATAAGCATTTTGGATGAGAAAGGGGTTTCCCAAGGGCTGCTCTGTGATTCCACCTACTTTGCCCCCATCCAGTGCCAGGTCACCAGATGGAAAGCGAAAAAGAAAGAACGGCCAATGTTCCCTGAAAACCAGCATGTCAGGTGAGCTGGGCTGAGTGTGCCCTTCTTCCCTGCTCCCAGCCCCACCAAAGCAGGCCAGGCCTCTTCTGGGTCTGGCATGCACCAGCAGCTTCTGGGGGAGGGGAGACCTCTTAGAGGGCTTGGGATAGGCTTATCCAGCAGCAGGAGGGTGATGTGGAGGCTGAGCCAGCCTTTGAGGATGGATTGGGTCAGGAGGGCCCCCTTTTCTTCTCCTACAACTCCCTTGCTGAGGCCCCAGCAGAATCAGAGCCCAGATGGACGAACCATAGGACTGCACTCTCCCGAGAGGAGCCACTGATATTTGCTTCTTCCTCTCCCCCATCCCCTGCCCCTTGGAAAGTAAGGCAGCAAGAGAAGAGCCCAGATTGGACAGTCAGAAGAATTGGGGTTCTCTATATTCATTTTAAAAAACAAAACAAAACACCAAAAACCGGTTGCTATCCAGTTGACTCCAACTCCTGTCAGCAGGGAATGGATAGGATGACCTCCGTTATGTCTCCAAGATTCTACTTGCAGACAAAAAATCCTTCAGGGAAGCTGGGTGAGGGCATGGTCAGAAAGGAAAATTTGGGTGATGGGAAAGGTACAGGATCCTCTCTACTAAGGCCCCAAGCTATGCCTGCTAGCCTCCCTCCCTTCCTCCCTCCCAGGGTATATCCCTAGTTACCTGGACAAAGACGAGCAGTGTGTCGTGTGTGGGGACAAGGCCACCGGTTATCACTACCGCTGCATCACTTGTGAGGGCTGCAAGGTATGGACCAGCTGGCTCCTCCCCTCCCCCACCACCTGAGCCCCCACTTCACTTCCTTTAAGGCCCTCAGCACCTGGCAGGACAGACAGGCTCTATAAACACGTAACCTCACAGCCATCTGTTACACCATCAGTTCTCTTTTTGCACGCACTCATTCATTCATTCTTTCGTTTGTTCATTCATGCATAATCCCTGCTGTGGCACTCATAAGTAACTTGCTTAACCTCTCTGAGCTGTAATTCCTTCACCTGTAAAATAGGAATAACCATACTGACTGTCTCATAGGGGTGTTAAGAATGAAATAGGATAATTCACATGAAGTGCTTAAAACAGTGCCAGGTATATAAGAAACACCCAATAAATGTCAGCTGTCCTCCACCCCTTGAGTATTCCTGGCTCTGTTAGATGTAAGGATGCAGCATATGCTCTACCCTCAAGTCAGAGAGAGACAGACTGGAAACAAATATCAGTGTTTTCAAAATGTGATTCATGGACCACCTCTGTAGAGTGCTAGTTAAAGTGCTGATTCTCAGGCCCCATCCCACCCTTAATCAGAATCTCTTGTGGTGGGGTCCAGGAATCTGCCTTCTACTGGGCTCCCTAGTTGCTTCTGTACCCAAAAGGGTGAGAACCAATGCTGGGGGGGGGGGTGAGGGCACAGAGGAGAAGAGGAAGGCAGATACTTTCTCCCTGGGTAGAGGGGACATACTTGGGGAAGCATAATTAGATTTTGCTTTGGTAATTTCAGCCTACATGGCTTTTCCAGGATCACCACTTCCTGAAAATGTGGGCCCTTCCAGGAAACAGAACTACTTAGTATCAGCCACACCAAGACCACCAGGGATTTAGCGTTCCCTAGCCGTGTTCCTGAAAGTAATACAAGTAGTGTAGCATAAAGGGAGGATCCTCACACCCAAGGACATCAGAATCCCCAGGAGGCATCTTGAAAAGACAGATGCCTTGGCCCTACTCCTGGGGAGTCTGCTTTTGTTGATCTGGAGGGGGTCCTAGGAGTCTGCATTTTGGGCAGTTACCATTGATGATTTTAATGGACCCCAGAATCCAGAGTTCAGACCTTGCTGTCTCATATCTGAGGCCCAGCTATGGCTCTGCTGCCCATTTAACTGTGATTTTGGGCAAGTTCCTTCATCTCTCTAAGCTTCAATTTGTTAGCCTATTAAATGGAACAATAACAGTTCCTACCTCACAATTGAATGGCATATAAAAAGGCTTATAGTGCTTGGCACATAGTAAGCATTCATGAAATATTAGTTCTTTGCATAACTACTACCATCTTAATTCTTGAGGTTTTTCCTTTAAGGCAAGGACTAAACATGATACATATATGTATAATAGACATTTTTCATTTAAAGCTACTAGAGCTTATGTAGGAGCTCTGGTAGCGTAGTGCCTAAGGCCCTTGACTGCTAACCAGAAGGCTGGCAGTTCAAACCCACCAACCACTCCTCGTAAGGAAGATTGGGCAATCAACTTCCGTAGTGATACCACCTTGGAAACCCAAGGAGGGGTCGCTGTGAGTCGGGTCCAACTTGACGCACATAACAACAACAGAGCTTATATACCCAATATCTTTCCTTAATTTTATAGGTCTCCCTATTTCATGAATTCCACCTGCATAGGAAACTGGCAACTTATTGAAAGATGTTTTTTTGTGGGGGTCACTTGTTTTTAGAGTCAGTTCAGCAAGATGGAAGATAAGGTATTAATTGGACATCCTAAGTGCCAATTTCTTTGGGCCTCATGGCACCTTACACCATCCCCAGATTCAAATATCTCCATTGCAGTCATCATTCTTACCTCTGCCACCATCACTACCCACGTTTTGAGGCCTGAGGGCACTCATTTCTAAGGTCCCTTGGCCTGGCAGAGCCCAGTGATCCTGGACTGGCTGTGTCACCAGGTCCCCTCACTCGTCTTGCCCCTGCCACCTCCAGTAAACTGCATGGTTGATTCAGGAAGGGGAGGTAAGGATCACAACATGTTACTTCTGTCTCCCCCCACCCCAGGGCTTCTTTCGCCGCACAATCCAGAAGAACCTCCATCCCACCTACTCCTGCAAATATGACAGCTGCTGTGTCATTGACAAGATCACCCGCAATCAGTGCCAGCTGTGCCGCTTCAAGAAGTGCATTGCTGTGGGCATGGCCATGGACTGTAAGGGGCCTGCGGGGAGGGCGGTGGGCCAGGCAGGGGGGGTAGGGGTGGGCTCAGGGATGGCAGCTCCCTTCCCGGGTGCCCTCAGGCAGAGTGCCAATCCAGGCCAGGTTAAGGATAGAGCATCTGGTGTCTTGGTCCCTGCTGTCCTCATCCCTGGGGAAAAGGAAAGAGAGGGTTCCTCTGTGAGACCCAAGTATGGACCCCACTGCCCACCTGCCTTGCACCACGTAGTAGAGGACCTTAGAGAGAGAGGTGTTGGATAGAAAGAACTCCTGAGCACCCCACTCTAGCACAGTGTTCCTGACTTCTGGGGGTGTGGGTGGCAGGGCTTTCTAGTAACTCAATAATGGTCCGCTATTGCCCATTCTTTGAATGATCCTAGCACTGTATGGCTGGCTATTTTCACCATAACCTATTAGACCAGAGCATAGCATTTGGGTTCTTTCTTCTGGGTCAGCCCAAATTGGAGGTCAAGGTATGGCCCGGTGATTAGTCATGATCCAGGTTGTGCTACCCAATTGCTAGGTGACTTGGGGAAGTCACCTAACTCTCTGGCCCTGGGTCTTCCCACGCCATGCACCAAGAAGAGGAGAAAAATGAGGTCCTGGGTGGGGAGTGCCACGCAGAGGGCATCGTGTCTCCATTGACAGTGGTTCTAGATGACTCGAAGCGAGTGGCCAAGCGCAAGCTGATTGAGCAGAACCGGGAGCGGCGGCGGAAGGAGGAGATGATCCGATCACTACAGCAGCGGCCAGAGCCCACTCCTGAGGAGTGGGACCTGATCCACGTGGCGACAGAGGCCCACCGCAGCACTAATGCCCAGGGCAGCCATTGGAAGCAGAGACGAAAATTCTTGGTAAGGAGAAAAGGAACATGGAGGAAAGGGTAGTAGCCGAGGGGCAGAGAGAGGACAGTGAGCCCTGGTTCAGAATCTTGCCTCTTCCAGGAAACCTTCTTAGTTCAACCCAAAGCTGACACTTTCCATACCTTGGCAGCCTAATTTGGTACACTTGTGTATGTGTTGTTGCCACCTTCATCCAATTGGAGGAGTCTTGCCTTCCTCATCGAATTTCCAGTGAGCAGGGGTTGCCTTTCTTCCTTTTTTTCCTGTGCACAGTGACTTGAAAGAGAAGGATCCAGTCATCTTAACAGTATTTTTGAGCACCTACTGGGTGCCAAGCACTATGTTAAAACAAGAACCAAACTCACTGCCATCGAGTCAGTTCCAACTCACAGCGACCCCCCGAAGGCAGTAACTCTTAACGGAAGTAGAGTGCCCCATCTTCCTTCTGCAGAGCAGCTGGTGGGTTTGAACCGCCAACCTTTTTGTTAGCAGTCAGATGCCTTAAGGCACTGCACCCCCAGAACTCCTTAGGCACTGTGTTAGGCCCTGGCAAAACCAAGTGCCAATGGAATGATCAGCTTGGGAGGAGATGGGTTTGTATATAGTGAGGGAGGGCTGAAAGCTGGTGCTGGTTTCTGGTGGAGTATGCCAAGAGGTGGAACAGTACGCTAAAAGCATGAATTCTGATACCAAACAGATGTGGGTATAACAGTCAGGAGTCAGATTGCCTGGGTTCAAATCCTGGTTCTACTATTGACTGGTTCTGTGACCTTGGGCTTACTAATGCTGTGTATCAGTTTCTTTATCAGTGAAATGGTCATAATTATATAAGGTTGTAGTGAGGATTAAAGGAGATGATATATGTAAAACATTGAGCTTAATGCTGAGCCACATATTACGTATGGAATAAATATAGCTGCTGTTACCACTGTTGTTATTATTATTGCTACTACCATTGTTACCAGGAGCTCTGGTAGCATAGTGCCTAAGGCACTTGACTGCTAACCAGAAGGCTGGCGGTTCAAACCCAGCAGCCACTCCTCGGAAGGAAGGTTGGGCAATCCTACTTCCGTAGTGATACTGCCTCGGAAACCCAAGGAGGGGTCGCTATGAGTCGGGCCGACTCCACGGCAAACAACAACAACAACAACAACCATTGTTACCATCATTGTTATCATTAGCCAACTTCCAGAAGGCGGGCTAAGGAAAAGCCTTAGGGCTGGGACACCACAATGCCCAGTACCAGCAATGCCTCTTCCCCAAGCTGCCTTGGAGCTCCCCCTGGTGGGCAGGGAGCCTCAGTGAGAGGTTAGAAGGGGTCTGCAGCCCCAGCTGACCCCAATCTCTCCCTCTAGCCGGATGACATTGGCCAGTCACCCATCGTCTCAATGCCAGATGGAGACAAGGTGGACCTCGAGGCCTTCAGCGAGTTTACCAAGATCATCACCCCGGCCATCACCCGTGTGGTGGACTTTGCCAAAAAACTGCCCATGTTCTCCGAGGTGAGTGGCAGATGGGAGGAGGGACATAGAGGGAATTTGGGGCTGCTCCCTAGGTCACCCAGTCCCAGCAGATGCTCATTGGAGGTTCTCAAGACAGGGAAAAATTCCTGTTGGTTTACATACACCACAACACACACACTCATACACACACACACTGGTACAGCTGATCCCTAAGGAACAAGCTGGCTTCAAGCGCCGAGCCTTCCCCTCAGACCTATGTGGCTACTGTAAGTCTGTTGTTGTTGTTATGTGCTGTCGAGTCAGACCCAACTCATAGCGACCTCTCCTTGGGTTTCTGAGGAGAGGTGGTATCTCTATGGAAGTAGATTGCCCAACTTTCCTTCCGAGGAGTGGCTGGTGGGTTTGAACCACCAGCCTGCTGGTTAGCAGTCAAGTACCTTAGGTACTATGCTACCAGAGCTCCTACTGTAAGTCTAGGCAGCCTTAAAGGTTTCCTCATTTTAAAGAGACAGGGTCTCTGGGTGGTACAAACAGTTAACTGTTCAAATACTAGCCAAAAGGTTGGTGGTTCAAACCCACCCAGGAGTACCTCAGAAAACAGGCCTGGTGATCTGCTTCCAAAAGATCACAGCCTTGAAAACCCTATGGAGCACTTCTGCTCTGCACACGTGGGTTGCCATGAGTCAGAATTGACTCGACAGCAATTAACAACAGCTCTGGAGACAGGTTGTCCTCTTAGCTGTGTGACCTTGGCCAAGTTCCCTAACCTCCCAGACCTGTGTCCTCATCTGCACAGTGGGGATAATGATGGGCTCTAAGTCATAGGTGTTACTGTGAGATTAAATGAATTTGTAAGTATACTTAGCCCAGCACAAGGTTAAGTGTGCATGTTACTAGCTGAAGCCAGAGGTGGCCTGGCTGGCCTTGTAGTTCCCAAGGGCACCCAAAGGGGAGACCCAGAAACGTGGTGGGGGTGCTGAACATTCCTGTGGCCCTGTCACTCTGCAGCTGCCTTGCGAAGACCAGATCATCCTCCTGAAGGGGTGCTGCATGGAGATCATGTCCCTGCGAGCGGCTGTCCGCTATGACCCCGAGAGTGACACCCTGACGCTGAGTGGGGAAATGGCTGTCAAGAGGGAGCAGCTCAAGAATGGCGGCCTGGGCGTAGTCTCCGACGCCATCTTTGAACTGGGCAAGTCACTCTCTGCCTTTAATCTGGATGACACGGAAGTGGCTCTGCTGCAGGCTGTGCTGCTAATGTCAACAGGTACCTGCCAGTTGGTTGGGAGAGCTCAGAAGCTTCCAGAGAGCCAGAGTTTGGCTGCACCCTAGGCCTGTTGCTCTCTTTGTTTCTTAATCCTATAGTCTTTCTCTGCTCTCAGCTTCTCTGTCCTCCTCCTAGTCAGCTGTCTTGTCTCCCAGACTGATTTCTCTATCATCCAACCCCATCTCTGCCCCTTATCCCCTGCTCTGCCACTCATTCTCTGCTTTGCTCCCTAGCCTCATCTCTTAACCCTCAGTCCTGCCCCTCTGTCCCCTATACCTTCTTTGCCCCATAGCCCTCTTTGTCACCCGTAACCATACCTTGTACCCATTTCCCACTTTCTCCCATCCACCTTCTGTCACTCACCCCTCCTTGTCAGTCCTGTCTCTTATCCCCAGTCTCCCCTCTGTTATCCCCTTCTGCTCCTCTGCTTCCCACCTACCTCTCTGACCACCCCCGCCCCTCTCTGTCCCCTAGCTCTCCTCAGTCTCCTAATTTTCTCTCACTCTTCCCAGGTCCACCTCTGTCTTTGTCTTCTCTCTGTAGCCTGTATAACCCTGGTCCCCTCAACGCCCCTCTCTTAGCCTTAGTTCCTAAGCTCAGTCTCTGAGCCTCCCCCGCTGGTCTCCCAGTCCCTCAGTCACTTCCCCCCTCACGCCCTTCCTTCCCCACAGACCGCTCGGGCCTGCTGTGTGTGGACAAGATCGAGAAGAGTCAGGAGGCATACCTGCTGGCGTTTGAGCACTACGTCAACCACCGCAAACACAACATTCCGCACTTCTGGCCCAAGCTGCTGATGAAGGTGACTGACCTCCGCATGATCGGGGCCTGCCACGCCAGCCGCTTCCTCCACATGAAAGTCGAGTGCCCCACCGAACTCTTTCCCCCTCTCTTCCTCGAGGTCTTTGAGGATCAGGAAGTCTAAAGCCTCAGGCGGCCAGAGGGTGTGCGGAGCTGGTGGGGAGGAGCCTGGAGAGAAGGGGCCGAGCTGGGGGATGAGGGAGACCCCCCCACACCTCTTCTCTCCTTCCTCTCATCCTCGGATAGATTCAGCTCCCACACACACCCCCGCACTGCCCAGGTCCCTCCTCAGACCCTCCAGCCCTGGGACAGGGCAAACAAATGAACTTGCTATGAAAAGGAGGACAGTGTGGGGGCTGGGGAGACCATGTCCTGCAGTTCCTAGGACCCCATCCTCTAATAAGGTAGGGGAAGGGAGGAAGAACTAAGAGGGGACAAGCCATCTTGATTGTAGGAGAAATAGGAAGGTGGGATGGGGGAAGATGCCCTCAACTCACCCTCTACACACATGCAAGAGAGAGCCCCCTACCCCCACCCCCAGTTTCGTGGCTAGGCTCCCCCTTCAGGCTGGGGGCCTCTCTACTTCCCCAGATGCCTGGGTGCAAAGAAAGGCGTGGCTTGGCTCCTCTACTGGAGGTTAAAAATTATAGTCATTCTAACTGCACTTTGGAAACCAAGCAAGGGGAAAAGAAGATAAATGAAGAAAAACTAGACAGAAAAAAACAAAAAAGAGCGAGCGAGCAAGAGAGAGAGAGAGAGAGATGATATTAAGTTATTAACCAAGGCTGGCCAGAGGGGAGGACACCCCCTTCCCGCCCCATGCACTTTGAGAGCTGCCCTTCCTCCCCCTAGATCAGAGGGAGATGCCCCCAACACCAGATCCCCAACAGTAGGGCTGCTGATCAGAGCTGTGAGCTAACACAACAGGGTCCTGGTCACCCCTTGTCCCGCCCCCTCCCTCTGTGCCCCTTTGGCACCCCTAGCCCAGCCCAGCCCTCCCTGTGCTCTCTGCCACTTGTGCCCGCTGAGTTCCATCTACCTCTCATGCTGGATGCCAGCTGGCCCCTCACCAGCCTGCCCTGCCACCTGCACAGCTCCCCTTTCAAGTGCCCAGCCCCGGGGGCCTTCTCCTGTCCCCCTGACCCTTCCCACCTTGGCACCCACACAGGAAAGACTGTGGCTCAAGCTCCCCGTCCTCCTCACATCCTGCAGTATTAACTATAATCCAGATGCTGCTGCATTTGGGAGGGGGTGCTTGAGGATCTCCCAGAGCCCCCGGCCCTTAAGGACCCTGTTTCCCATCTGTCTTCTGGGCTCTCTCTAACACCTCTGCCCGCCTTTTCCCCACTCCCACGCAATGCACTAACCAGACCCTGGATGGGCAGGCACCAGAGTGGGGGGTGCTTAGATAAATGGCACTTAGTTGGGGCCTGGGGGAGGGGGAGGTTGGTGCTCCTCATTTCTTTGAAGCTCTTTAAGCCAGCCGCCCCTCTGCCCCAGGGACCCCTTTCCCCTCTTCTTTTCTTTAATTCAGGGACTTTGGCTTGAGCCACCTCCCACCCTCCTGGTGAGGAGTGCTCTGTTGGTCTGCACTTAGGTGAGCTGTGTTCCTCCTCCTCGCTCTGGCTATTGCCTACTCCTCTGGAGAGAGAGATGGAGGAGATGGCCCTGTGGGGGGGATGAGGGGTGGGGAGGATGGGGAGGGCCAGAGCAGACCAGAGGGCCCTGGCTCAGGGCTGCATGTCGGCAGGGATGGATGGGTGGACACAGATGCCCCCGGAAGCCATGGGGAAATGGGGTAGGGGGGTGGGGGAGGGGTGCCAGGGCTTCCTGCGCTTTGCACTATTGGGGCAAACATGTCTTAAGCAGTGGGGAACCTGCCACCCCACCCTGACCCTAGGCCTGCCACGGCCCCTCCCCCACATGCACACATCCATGCACACATACACGCACGAATGCACACACGCATGCAAGGGAAGGTGAAGCTATGCTGCCCCTCAGGGCAATGGCCTTCCCTCCTGGTTTAGGTGTTCTCACAGGGTGGAGGGCCTGGAGCAACATCTGGTGTTGGCTGTGCATGTGACTGCCCCACCCTTCTTGGGCCCAGTGTGCTGCTCCTGTGCTGTCTTTGTCTGTCTCTCTCCTCTCTCTTTCCTGGGGTACTGATCCCTTTATTACTCCAGTCCCATGGGTAAGCCCTCGTGTACCTTCCTGCCAGCCCCAGGGCCCCAGTGGAACTCCTGTCTGCTGTCTCCCTCATCCCACCATCCCTACCCCTCCCCTTGCATCCCATCCCCAGCCATAGACGTGGTGAGAAAAAGGCCTTGAGGAGGCTTGGTCTCTGATAGGTGTTTGGGAACCCCTTTCCCAACCCTCCCTCCCCCATCATATGAGCTGTGATCCCCCACTCCACCCCTGACCCTCCCCCCCTCACTCTCGGTGATGTGGGGTGTATGTGTGCGTTTCTCTGCGTGTGTGAGTGAGTGCACGTGGTGGGGGAGGAGCCAGGCAGACTCAGGAGCGCCACACACCTGCTCTAGAGGCAGCTGTCCCAGTCCCTGCTGTGGAAGTGGGGGACAGGGCCCTCTCCTGGGGGCCATTGGTGCTAATGAGGGGGATGGCCTTGACATGGGTGCTTAGCAGGCCTCCCCCAGTATTGGCCCGGGGCACTAGGGCAGGCAGGGTGGGGCAGCAGGTGCAGTATTGGTGGGACGAGGGGCCACTGGGAATAGGATGAGGAGGCCAGGCCAGGACAAGGGGGTCCCAGAGCCATGACCACTACCCCGCCCCCACCACCCGCCTCTCCATCTCAGTATTGTCCCTCCCATCACTCATAACACACATACCTCATCCAGCCTCCTCCCTGCTCAGACTTGGGGAGGGTGGGGGAGGAGGAGCCCCCTACCCCTTCCCCTGGTGGCGGGTCTCCAGGGCTGGGAGAGGGCAGGGCGTGTGACATAGACACCGTCCATAAGGGGGACAGGACTTCCTGCCCTGGGAACTCCTGGGTCGGGGGAGGGGGGCACTGCCCAGAGGCGCTACTGAATGTATGAGAAGCTGGTGCTGGGGTGGGGGGAGGGGAGTTGTGGCCAGAAACAGGGAAGGAGGTAGGTCCCTTCCCCAGGGAGGGGTGGGACCGGTAGGGGTGACTTGGGGGGGCTCCTACTCCCGCCCCACGTTGACAATCAGTATGTCTGTTATGTGCGATTTTTCACCCCGTTGTGTTTTGGGTCAGGATTTTAAAGAAAGATATTTTTATGGTAATTGTTGCTCGTCTATTTTACTATATATTTATGTAATAAATATATGATGAAAATAACCCCCTTGAGCACACGCCCCCCCCCCTTAGACTTGTGTGATGCTTCCCTGGGCCCTCCCATCTGCTGGCAGAGTCCCAACCCCACAAACTGACCAGATGGAGAGGGTTCCCCTCAGCCCCGCCCCCCAAAGGAGCACACAACCACAGAAGCCAGTTCAGCTGTGAACTATTGGATTTGAGACAGGAACAGAACAAGTCAGGGGGTTGGAGAAGAAGGGTGGGGGGGAGGAGAGAGAGGTTTAAATAGGGGAGGAGGGGGAAGTTCAGTGGTGGGGGAGGGAGGCAGGTATTTACAAGAAGGCTCAGGGGGCCAGAGGCTCATCTTGGAATATTTTATAACAATATAAATAAGATTCTGGTTTGCTTTTCCTTTTCGTCTCGTAAAGGAGAGAGAAGTGCAGAGTTCGATTCTGTACAAGGGGGCAGCGGCAGAAGGCCGGCCGGGCGGGTCACTGGGCGTCCACCCGGAAGGACAGCAGCTTCTCGGAATGCATGTTGTTCAGGGTCCGCAGGTCCGGCAGCTTGAGCAGCAGCTTGGTGAAGCGGGAAGTCTCCAAGGGCCGGTTCTTCAGCACCAGAGCCCGAAGAGCCCGCAGCAGCGTCTCCTGGAGCTGCTCCACAGAAGCGGAATTCTCCATGCCCGAGCGGTCTGTGGGGAAGACGACAGCAGTGAGGCAGGCTCCTCGTCCAGCTCCTCCTCTGACGAGGAGCCAGAGGTCTGCGAGGACCTGGCCGGCAAGGCAGCCTCTCCCTGAAGCCCCTCGGAGGGCCCATGGGGAAGGAGAAGGAGGGTGCTCGACTCCTTCTCCCAGGCCTCTGCCCCCAGAGCAGGAGGTGCCTGATTGCTGGGAGCCTGGCTCAGCAGGGCTGGTCACCTCCCCTCCCCAAGCCCACTCCCCTTCCCTAAACAGGCCCAACATATCCAGGCTCCCTTGCTTTTGGCTCTGTAGTTCCCTCTGCCTGGGATGCCCTTCCCCCTTTCTCTGCCTGGCAACATCTTACTTGTCCTTTGAAGCCCCACTCAAGTGTCACCTCCTTTCCCAGCTCCCCCAGGCAGAAATAGTTGTCTGTGCTCCCAAAGCCCTTGGTTCATGCTTCTACTGTGACACTTATCTCACTGTTTTATAATTAGTTGGGCATGAGTCTGTCTCCCAAGCTAGAATGTGTCTTAATCATGTCTGTATCCCCAGTGCCCGGTGCAGGGCCTGGCATAGAGTAGGTACTCCATAAAAGGTGTGTTGAATTGAACTGCGTCCGCCTCCTCCCCCAGGTCAGGTGAGAGCTTGACCTACCTGCAGAGACAAGCACCACTGCTGTGAAGAGGCCCAGCTCCTCCTCGGTAAGCGCCAGGGAGTTGAGCTTCTCGCTGAAGTCAAACATGGCATTGAGCAGGTCTCCCATGCCCATGGCACCGAGCTCCTGCAGGCTGTAGGTGGTGCGGCTCAGGAACATCACTGTCTGGTCCTTCACGTTGAACAGTGATGCAAAGCGCACCATCAGCACCTAAAGGGTGGGCACAGTAAGCCTGGGTGGTATGGGAGGAGCACTTAACAAATCCCCCCTAAGGTTTCAGAAGAGTTTCATGGTGCCACCTTAGATTTCTCAGTAAAGAGTGGGGCAGTTTCTGAATGGGCAATTGGAGGGCTATGGGGAAGGATGGGGAACATGCTACTGGTCTTGGAGCCCAATAGGCCTGATTCTGAGTCTCAGCATTATCACCATCTGTGACCTCGGGCAAAGCACATCACCAAGGTGAATTTGTTTCTATCTAGAATGGGAACAGCAATGCGCTCTAAGCTGTTACTTTACTGTAATGGATCCTCTTCATTCGTTAGTCAGAACGCCTAAGGACAAAGATACTTTGGGGTTCCAAAGCCTTTCAGAGCTCCTCCTACCCTAGATATCTAGCCTCTTCTGCTAGATGCTTCCCAAGATCAAGAGCAGAGAGCACTAAGGGTTACTCACCTCAAAGGTGCCAGCCTTAAGCAGGGCGACCTGGTCGTGCTGAGAAAGGTCACAGAAACCAGGGATGTGCTTGGCAAACTCTACCACCTCCCGCACAGCAGGAGTGAAACACATGGAGAAATCCTCCCAGATCTCCTGCACGGTTCTCCCACTGCGTCCATGCGGGTACATGTTCATGGGACACGCCTAGAGAAGGAGAGGGGTTTGGGGAGGGAAGTGTCAGCCAGGCTGGCTCAGACAGACTCATCCAGCAAGGCTGGGCCCCACAGTCTGCCTGGGCTAAGAACTGAGGCCCTGGAGAATAGGTTTTTAAGGTAAAGTAGCAAGCTGGCACCAGGTAGAGATTAGGAATTCCCAGGCAGAGCCCTGAGTGCAGGACAGGGCATCCTCCCATGGGAAGGGTACATCCCCACACTTCTGCAGCCACACCCAG